CGGGGGTCGTGGGTCTGGTTTTGCGAACGAGTGGAGGCGAATCAGGGAGGCTGTGCTAGGGGGGCGGGGGGAGGAAGAGGTCTGCACGCTCTGTCTGCTAAAACAACGAGCCCGAATGCGCCTCCGGCCGGCAGAGTGACGTACGGACGTGGGTCTGATGTCTGCGGGATCGTGTGGAGCGCCGCCTTGGGCTGGCCGGCCGGCGCCGTTCAGACTCGCGCCTCGCGGGGCGGGGTGTGTGTGTTTGTGTGTGTGTGTTGCTTTCCACGCAGGATGGCCTCGGCAGGCATCTTTCTCTAAGGAGCCGGGGCTGAAGGAGATGGCGTTCCTTTTCTACTCCCACGGGGGCGATGGAAAACTTCCCCGAACCAACCAAATAGGGCGCTAGTTTAACAGCACAAAGTGCGCGTGACCTCCGAAGTGGGTAGTAGAAATAAGGCCCCCCCTGACTCAGTTTGCCAGGAATCTAGAATGTCCAGGATTCTTTCGAACTGTCCATGGAGGTCTCGGTCTCTCTCTGTCCGATAAATAGTTTAAATATTTTTAATTGTCAGTATTGAAGGTCGTATGCTTTCAGTCTGTGGAACTGTTACGGTCTTGGCCTTTTCTTCTCCTCTGGTTGTCATTCTGATTTGTGCTAATGTTGAATCCTGACACCAGAGAGACTGCGGCGTTGCATAAGATGAGTGGAAAAAACTGGGACAGGGAAATCTCCCCCCCCCCCTTTTCATAGTATTGAACAAGGATGCAAGTGTAGAGCGACAAGAAAATAACATGCAGATTAGCATTTTCATTCCTTTTATATTACCCTGTTTTTCCCGAAAATAAGACCTACCCCAAAAATAAGCCCTAGCAGGATTTCTATGCATTTGTGGTATAAGCCCTAGTGTGTCTTCTTGAGAAAAAATAAATATAAGACAGTGTCTTATTTTCGGGGAAACACGGTACAAAGAGAAAAGCTCCAAACTATTTAAATACTTTCTCAGTCAGGACTTCAAAACAGACATCTTCAACTACAAGGCAGGCCAATGAATCTTGCCTCTTAGACCCCTCTTTCCCCAAAGAGGCATGTTTGAGACACTACAGTGGTGATATTTCAGGGAATCATTTTAAATACCTGTTATCTATGTCAGGGAATTACCTTCTCTAGTGGTAATGTCACTGCCTATATGCTTGCCAGTTGTGAGGGACACGGGATAGATGCTAATTTTGAAGTCATATTTGAAGGTTCTTTTCCCAATGGACTACAGCACATGGTTTGAAGAGTACAGCTTGAGGGCTGTGATTGTTGAGCAAATCATGCTGTTAATGTTGAAATATCTACTTGATTATCACGGTTGGACACTGTCAATCAGAGAACTGTCCTGAATGTCCCTAATAGTAAACTGTTCTTTAGTATCTGATGTGGCATGTTTATATCTAACTAATGAAATGCAGGTTGTTATGATGGACACCCTTTAAGTGGAGACGGTACAAAACATCTCAGGGTGCTGTGTGCACAGATCTGCATCATGCACACTCCTGTCAATGAGGACAGGTCACCAAGTATCACAAAAGTAGGGCAGGGTTTTGCTCTCATCCTCAAATGCAGTGCTTTGTTCTTCCTTGTAGAAGTGAATTGAACCATTTGGGCGAAATTGAAACAGGCTCATTTGGTGACACTGTTGAAATGTGGTCCCTCTGTTCTCTAACCTCTGTTCCCATGAAACTCAAGTCTGCTGCTGTTCTGTCTCTACAGCCCCATTTTTAATTCTCTTGCAAAATGCCCTCTACTGTGTTGCAAGGGATATCACACCCAAAATGTCTTTGCTTTTCTATTGTTATGGTTCTTTATCAACACAGGCTGCAAATCATTGCCTGATTACATACATTGCATTAATTGTATTGGTTAAACATAAGGAGTAGAATTAGTTTTGTGTGTGATTGTTTAAATCAGTTTTACTTTAATCTTGCCTAAAATGGTAAGCAATTAGATTGTGAACCAATTAAGGTAGCTTCAAAGGAAATAATTGCCACTAACTTAAAAAAACGCTCCCTTATTTAATTGTTTGAGATTCCAAAAAGGTCTTGGTTTTATCTGGGCTATAATAATTAGTTTAGGCAAAGCGTTGATCCATGCCTTCAGTTAGAGACGCAGATTTCCAGAAGAGCAGGAACAGATACTGTGTGGCCTTGTAGCAACTCCTGTCATTACAAGGCATTGAACAAATAGGGAGTTTCCCACATCACTGGCTTGTTGCATACAAATGAGCACACAGTTGGACTAGAATCCCAATGCATTTTGTGTAACTTTTTCTTCTACCCCTTCACCTCGTATTTCTGCAACAAAACAGATTTGCAAGATGCTGCCATACATGCTTTCTATAGTTGTGATTTCTGTATGCCTTTATTTTTTCCTAGTTGTGGATCCGCCTTTGTGTTACATCACCAGCAAATGTGCTCAGTGCTTCAATGTGACCCTTTAATATCTTTTGGTTTTCCTATACCAGAGGTTCTCCTCTCCTCCCTGAAAGGAAATGAGTCTTCCAGTGCAGTCCAATGCAGATTTATTCCAGTATAACTCTACTATGATTATTTGTTTGTTTATTCCATTTATACCCTGGGGACCCAACTTGGCTTACAGCATTCTCTCCTTCTCCCTTTTATCCTCATCACAACCTGGTGAGAGAGGTAGAGTGTGGATTCAAGCCTTGGTCTCCCAGATCCTAGTCAGGCACCCCTATCACTGCACCACTCTGGCTCCACTGAAATCAGTGGGGTTAGGCTGGAGTAGCTCTGCATAGGATTGTATAGTGTGGCTCTTTGTGTCAAGTGGAAAGCCTGAACATTGGTGATCTGTGGCTGCCACCACCATTTTAGAGATAAAAATGGGCCATTTAAAAATGCTGATCCTGATTTTGCCTGCCGCACAGTGGACTCAGGCAACCTATAATCTTTGAGTGCCACAGCAGTCCCTTGCAGCTGTTTCAGCACATGAAAAGGTGTGGGGGAATAAGATTGCCTGGTCCTGTTGCTCTGTGAGTCTGATTGGATTGGGCCATCATGGCATTTTTAAATGTTCCAAGTTCACCTCTGAAATGGTGGCAGTATCCACGGGTCAGACCCATGGATGCCATAATGTCTGCTTTGGCCCACTGATGGAAAAGCAGGAAAGGAAAACTATGGGCTATTATTGGGCTGATAAGACCATGCAGTGCGGCCATGTTGGGGTCAGGGATACCAGTAATAGGGGGTCAGGGGAGATACAGTGGTGGGACTAGGTAGAATTCCTTTAGGAGGAATGGAAGAAGCCGGAGATACGGTGAGGCTCGGACTTCTTCCCACCTACTTCCCACCTTGGGAAATGCTGGTTGTGGGGCTAAGGAAAGATACCCTTCTCTGACACTGGTGCTGTGTAATGCCAGGTCTATTAATAATAAAATCACTGTTCTTCGAGATTATCTTGCAGAGCAAAATGTAGACCTGGCTTGTGTGACTGAGACTTGGATGAGAGAGGGTGAAACTGTCGCCCTGAACCAGCTTTCCCCGCCTGGGTTCTCAGTCCTCCACCAGTCCTGGACTAATGTGCGGGGAGGAGGAGGAGTGGCTTTGCTTATCCGCGAATCTTTTTCCTTCAGGGCACTCCCTGCACCAAAAATAGCTTGCATTGAATGTGCTGGCCTGGCATGGGATGCCAAGGAGAGTTTGGCTGTCTGGTTAGTATACTGGCCTAGCTTGTTGGATGCTGTATTGGACTGGGCTCTGGAGCACCCCAGGCTGTTGGTACTGGGGAACTTCAATGTCCATGTCAATGATGCAGCGTCCTCTGAGGCTAGAAACCTAGTGTTGTCCATGGGGGCACTGGGACTCTACCAATTTATATAAACTCCCATGCAACAAGCAGGCCACACGTGAGGATAAATGCTGATCTGGAAGCTGCAGAGACAGTACCATGGTTATGTAATTACGTCTTGAAGGTCCAGTTGAACATACCAAACCCTCCATGTTTAGACGGTGAGAAGATTTATGCTCACCTGTGGAGCCTAATGGACCCTAAGCGGCTTCAGGCTGCTCTGTGGGATCCAATGCCCCCTGGTGGCTCGTTAGATGATCTGGTTGAGGACTGGCATTGCTGGCTCTCCGAAGCCATCGATGAGATTGCCCCCTGGCGCCCTCTCCAGCCTTGAGCCAAACTAGCTTCATGGTATACCCCGGAGCTACGGAGGATGAAATGAGAGCTGAGACGGTTAGAGTGATGTTTATGGACGTTTATGAAAGCCTATGAGATGGTAGTGAAGACTGCAAAGGAAGTTTACTATGTGGCTTCCATTGCATCTGCGAACTCTTGCCTGGCCCAGTTATTTAGAACCATTCAATCATTAAAGATATTGCCACAAGGCAAACAAAACAGTAGGGAATTGGCTATTGGCTGTGAGGCATTTACAAGCCATTTTGCAGATAAAGGCATGTCGCTCCGCCAGGACCTCTCGACCACAGTTGAAACAGTAAGGGAACTGGAAGCCCCTTGCCCATCTTCTGGTCCTTTATTGGACCACTTCAGCTGACTCTACTTGGAAGATGTCGACAGGATCCTGGAAGCTGTTAAGCCTACCACTTGCCTCCTTGACCCATGCCCATCCTGGCTGGTTAAGGCCTGCGGGGATGGTGTGCGGGACCCCCTGGAGGAGATAATCAATTTGTCCCTTTCAACAGGGACTTTCCCAGTGGGGTTGAAGGAGGCTGTGGTGCATCTGCTCTT